GACAGCGATGTATGAAGAATCTCAGACAACAGAGGCAGGCAAGTTTGTTAGGAGAGCATCTCTTACTAACAGTTTCTACAAGATCCCTAAGAAGAAGAAATCTAAATCCCTGCCATTTCTCCATAGCTTCAACCTGGAATCAAGTTACCCCGTGGTCAGATTGTGTCTGTGGGGAATCTCCTGGAAAGGTGCATGCTGCTCCCTCAGTGCTTGGCTAGATCTCAGTGTGTGTCTTGATGCTTGGGGTACTCCTGTTCCCGAGTGGGTATCATTCCATTTTACTCTCTCGTCCACAAATGGAGCATTATCTATTTGACTCTGAATACAGACATTTTGTGTTTAGCTGAGTTCAGTGACATAGCATTGGCATTGTAGGAAAAACCAGTGCCCAGTGTGACCCAGCCTGACGTTCATGTTGCTGTCTCTGAAGGAGCCCCTCTGGAGCTGAGGTGCAACTATTATTGATCTTCTGTTCCACCACATCTTTTCTGATATGTGCAATACCCCAGCCAAGGACTCCAGCTTCTCCTGAAGTACATATCAGGAATTGTTGTTTCAGGAATTAATGGTTTTGAGTCTGAATTTAGGAAGAATGAAAACTCCTTCCTCCCAAGGAAACCCTCATCCCATTGGAACGACACGCTGAGTACTTCTGTGCTGAGTCCCGCATTGCCCAGGACTGCAGTGGGGGCTCCATACAAACTACCTGAGACATATAGCTTAAACAACTAAGGATCTCAGCCTCAGTTATTTTCAGGAAGTTGACTTGTTCTGTGAAAGCAAACAGTACAAAGAAAGTAGAATCCTGTCTAGCATTTACTTCCTGTGGACATCTTAGATTTAATTTATTTTCTTATTTGCCATTTCACAAAGGAAAGAGCTTGTACCTGATTCTAGAAGAAACTAGACTATAGGATTTGTAACAAGCTGGAAGAGGTGATTTGCACCATGTTATTTGAGATAGTGATGGAATGAGATGACTTAAGCTTGGCCATGTGGATTGGTATAAGGCAAATCAATTTGCTTTTAGTTATTAATCTCATCTCTCAAGCAATCAGAAACCCAGAAAGAGAGTTTATTTCAAGTTGCATTAGCTACAGATTATTTAACCCAGTATCCTGACTTCAGTGAGCTACAGTCCTTTGAGGAAAGAAGCCTCTTCAAAGGACTTCAGCTCACTGATGAAAGTACTGGAGACTGGGAGACTTAATTAAAGCTGACATTTAAGGATGTGTGCAAGGCAATCTTTCCAAAGACAATATAAGTAGAAAGGGAACAAAAGACTTTTTATTTTAATCTGGTGGTCCCCAGCAAAAGGCAATCTAAATTAAACACAACATCATGGCAAAGTTCCATGTGGAATCTTGGGGTTGGTTGTTCTATGGATGACCTGCCCTTTATCAGTTCTACCCAGATTACCTCTCTCCTGTTTTTCTCCCTTTCAACTCAATTTCTCTAATACTTGCTGAGTGTCCAATAACTATTATTGATTCCTTAATCATATTGAATTATTTCTCTACACTATTCCTCATAGTGCCAATAGTAACTATTTGCAACGTTCTTGAGCAGTTACTCCAATGTTGTGCCTGCAGAACTTTTATTTCTACTTCAGTGAAAATATAGGTGTTCTCATTTTTCACCCCCTTTACCTCCAAATCCATCTACAGATAATTAGTATTAATTATGGATTCTGGGGCAAAAGCACAACAAATTATTTTCATAACTTTTAAAAACAGCTAATTTTCTTTTAAACCATTAGAATAATCTATTAAACCTAAAAAGAAAATATAAATAATAATTAACAATGGATAGTTTTAATAAAATATATTTAAATAAAATTAGAATTCATTTCTTTTAAGTTTAATTAGATTACAGTATTTAAAATAAATGCTAGTTTCAACATCCATCTAGTTGATAAAGAAGCTAATCAGTGTTACTCTTTATGCAGATTCAATCTAGAATAAATATATGCAATTTATAAGTAATGTTGTTTAATATTACAAAGTGTTCCAGCCATCATGAGCAACTATAGTGAATACTATGCTGATTCATGAGTACCTTGAAGAACCACAAATGAGTACGTAAGAGATGCAAGAAAACAGATCCTCAACATCCTTGGGAAACAGCATTTCTTTATGTACAAATCTATTGCCTCCATGCTGAGAGGAAAGATGGGGCTAGCTAATTAATTTTTTCCTTCTCTTCCCTGAAACCCCTCCACCCTCGACCCCAATTCCAAATCAGAGTCATATGAAGTCAATTAAGAAGTATGGAACCAAAAAATATAAAAATGAAAAGTGTTAATGCTGCCAAGGACATGGAAAAAAGGGAACCCTTGTACACTGTTGGTAGGAGTGTAAATTAGTATAGCCACCATGGAGAACAGTATAGAGGTTCTTCAAAAACCTAAAACCTGAGCTACTATAAGATCATATTTACTTATTTTTCTATACCATTCCTCACAGTGCCAATAGTAACTATCTGAAACGTTCTTGAGCAGTTAATCCAATGTTGTGCCTGCAGACCTTTTATTTCTACTTCAGTGAAAATATCGGTGTTCTCATTTTTCACCCCCTTTACCTCCAAATCCATCTAGAGATAATTATTATTATTTATGGAGTCTGGGGAAAAAACACAAACTAATTATTTTCATATAAACAGAGTCTGCCTCCTATGGCCGCAGCAGCACAACCCACAAATATTTCTAATATTCGAAAAGGACAAAGGTCAAGGTATGTGAAGAGGTCTTTTTCTCAAACCTGAAAAATGGTGTTAGTAGTTTTTTAGGCTACAGAGTGTGTCTGGTTCTGAGTGACGGAGACAGCCTGTGTTCTTCAGTACATTTGTGTGTGTGTGTGTGTGTGTGTGTGTGTGTGTGTGTGTGATTGAATGGCCCTATAAAATATGAGGCTCTGGGCAGCACACTTGCCTGAGTCTAGGGGTCATACTGTCCACAACCTTGCTCATCTTCTCTCCTCCTTGTATTTAATACAAAGGGTACTTTTCAAAGTTGGCCATCTTTGCTTTTGTTGCTCTCCAGTCTTGTCACCTCCACAGAAGGCATGTAGCATCACATCCTCCATCAACTCACATCCTGTAATAGAATTTTGATGTAATTGTTACTGTCTTGGTGCTCATGTGGTGTTTAAGGATGCTTTTCAAAAATGATATCCTGTAAACCTTTATTACATTCAGACAGATGTTTGTCTCCTCACTATATCACAAGCTCTCTGAAGGAAAAACTGTATCCAATTCATTTTTTAAAAAAATTTCCAAGGTCTCAAACACTCTTAAATATATTGGCTTAACAATACTGAATCAAATTGGTGAGTTCATATTTTTTCAGTTCATAGGTATGAATTAAATGGATGTGCTAATTACATAAAATTACATTTGAAGTATTTATTTTCATAAAAGCCACCGTGGGGTCTCATGGTCCTATTTATGGTACTCTCCATTCTGTGGACACTTCTGTTGGTTCAAGTCAACCCACAAGTACAGCCCTAGGAAAAGACAGCTGGGCTGAGCTGTTCATATATGCTGAGGAAGATGTGGTCTTTTCAAGGTTTTAGCACATCAGGAGGCACTATAGGCTTTTCTTAAATTGAGGGATGACTCTGAAGGATCTAGTAGTGAATAATTGTTGAAAGATTTGAGAAATATATTGAGTATAAGGATGAGGGCCAGCAATAGTGAAGAGGGAAGAATAATTATGTGTAAGGACAAACTAAATCATTATCAGCACATAAGAAATATATTTTTGCTGAGTATTCTTTTCAATTGTAGCTCTGTCCTCTAAAACAAGATAAATGACATATGAATATTCAAGTTCTAGGTTATATTTGAAATGCATATATATATAATTTTTATATTTATCTATATCATTATCTTCATCTGTATCTGTCAGAAAATATTCCTGGGTCAAACAGAATCATATACAGCGAAAGGGAAAGTGCACAATTCCAAAGAAGGGAATTCGGATTTTTAAAAATTTTTGTTTCCTAAGATTTTCTAAGAAAAAAATATGAACTTTGATTTCACAGGTCCAAAATTATTTCTAAACTGTTGAAAGCCATCTTTTCTTTAGTATTCTTCTGTCCCTTTCCTGTAACTAGAACCCCTTACCCTCAACCAAAAACAAACAAATAAATAAATAAATAAAGGAGAGAGAGAGAAAAGGCAGAACACGGAAATAAAAGGTAATGATAGAAAAGGAAGAACATGGAACCGAAAGGTAATGATAGGAGAAAGTGGAAGGAAAAGAGGGAGACAGAAAAAAATAAAGAAAAAAGGATTTACTGGACTGTAAGTTGAGCTATAAAGCAAGTTTGTATAAAACAGGAATTAGGAAAATAAAACATGCTGCCCATCCAGGGTAATATGTAGAAAAAAAATTTGAATTGATCTTATTTTTTCTCTCACAATTTACAGTCTTACGAGGGTCATTTCTTATAACAATATTTACCACAATTCTTGATTATTTCAGGAGAGTCTTAATCCACATATTTCATATATTCTAATAATAAAAATTATTACATTTATAATACGTAACATGTATGTTCTTATTACTTTACATGACTGGAATGACTTTCACCTAAATTAATTCATTGGTTAATAAAGACTCTTTTGTCAGAACACATTCTCGTTTTGGGGGTTTAAAATGTGGACACTCATTCTGTGATCCTCTCCAGGATCGAATTAGTATTACAGTTGAGGCACGTTGTCGTCCCGAGGAGGCCCCTCCCTTTCCTTCTCACAGGATCTTTGACATTCTTTACTACATCCAGAATTATTAGAAAACATCCCTCAGGTTATGGAATAATGACCTTTCTTTTTTCCTTTCACTTCACCCCTTTCCACCCCGGTTCTCAGCCAGGTTTAAGCCGGCGAATGGGGCTTCCTGTCACAGAACGCTGTTTAAAAACTCAGTAGCATCTGGGCGTGAGCAGACTTTGTTGAGTGAAGTTGATAGGTTGCAGGAGCAGCAATTCCAGAACCAAGTCATGACCCACATCCTCAAGGTTTAGTTAAATATATCTTGTGGTGAAAATGCCCGGAGCAAGAAGGCAAAGCATCATGAAGAGGACATTGGGAGCTCTGCTGGGGCTCTTCAGTGCCCAGGTTTGCTGTAAGTTGGGGCTGTCCAAGGTGGGAATCTGATAGGATTTAGCAGCTGCAGCCTTGTTGAAGGGAGGATTGGAAAGGAGTTAATAAGTCTTGCAATCTTTCTATTCACGCATTCCGTGGGAGCATTTTCAGGGTTCTTCAGATGTTAAGCTGCCCATCACCTATGACTTTTTCTCCATTTCTCACCAGGTGTGAGAGGAATACAAGTGGAGCAGAGTCCTGCAGACCTGATTCTCCAGGAGGGAGCCAATTCCAAGCTGCGGTGCAATTTTTCTGCCACTGTGAGCAATTTGCAGTGGTTTCACCAAAACCCTTGGGGACAGCTCATCAACCTGTTTTACATCCCCTCAGGGACAAAACAGAATGGAAGATTAAGCGCCACGACTGTCACTACGGAACGCTACAGCTTATTGCACATTTCCTCTTCCCAGACCACAGACTCAGGCATTTATTTCTGTGCTGTGAAGTCACAGTGCTCCCCAGGCACCTGCAGCCTGTACACAAACCCTCAGCTGGGCTCAGTTCCTCTACCAGCAACAACCACATCATGAGGCCACCACAGCAGCATTTGCACAGCTTAATATTCCTTTTGTACATAGGTAGAGTTTTAACCACAGATTCTTTTTGGCTCTACAGGTTTGAGACTTTGGTCTTTATTTTCCCTTTTCAATACACACCTCCTCCTACCCTATAAATATCGAGCTTGGAAGGAGTAGAGTAGCTGATGAGAGGACAGAATCAAAATAAATATTTAAGTGACAGTATGCAGGACTCCAAAAGGGTAAAAAGTAAAAAGAATAACAAGAAAAGAAACACCATTCCAATAAGCATGTTGTTAGATATATTAGACCATGATCCAGCTTAGTTGCGTGTCTCAAGCACATACAAGTCTCCCTCACTACATTATGTACCAGCAGACAAGGGCAAATATTTGCATCCTATCCCACTAGTGCAGCAAAGTAAAACTTCTTTGAATATTAACATATTGATAAACAGCTGTGGAAAAAAGCTTTAAAATGTTATGTTCCACTCAACTATGTCCAATATGTGTTTTTCAGGCTTGTTGTATAACCTAGAATATGATCTATCCTGGAAAATATAACCATGCATGCTTGAGAAGAATGTGTTTTCTGATCTTGGGTAGATAGATGACTGTTAGGTCTATCTGGCTTTTGTGTTGTTCAAATCTTCTATTTTCTTGTTGGTATTCTATTTGTCCTATCTATTATTGAAAGTGAGATATTGAGTCTTCACTTGTTATTCTTGAATTTTCTGCTTTTCCCTTCAATTTTGTCAGTTTTTGTGCATCATGTATTTTGGGGTATGTCATTAGGTGCATATATGTTTATAACTGATATATTCTTAATGGATGCCCTTTTTAACATTATAAACTTTCCCTTTTTATCTTTAGTAACGTTGTTTGGTTTAAAGTATACTTTGTCTAATAATAACATAGTTACTCCAGTTCTCTTATGGTTGCTGTTAAATGATATATCTTTTCCTATCCTTTTACTTTCAACTTATTTGTATCTTTGTATCTAAAGTATGTCTCTGACAGTGTATAGGTGTGTGTGTGTGTGTGTGTGTGTGTGTGTGTAGTCATTCTGATAATCTCTGCTTTTTGATTGGATTGTTTAATCCATTAACATTTAATGTTATCGTTGATACAGAATATACCTGGCATTTTAATTTTATTTTCTTTCTGTCTTATGTGTTTTCTGTTCCTCTGTACCTCCTTAACTGCTTTCCTTTGCATTATGTGAATCTTCTATAGTGTACTATTTTAATTCTTTTTTTTTTCACTATGCTTTTGCAATTATTTTCTTGGTGGATGTTTTAGTACTTACAATATATATACATCTAAACTTGTCAGAAGTCACTTCAGATTTTATGCTAACTTAATTCCAATGGGAATATAGGTCTATTTCTTATTCCCTTTATTATTATTGTTCACATTACATGTATATATGTTACAAACAATAGATTATTATAATTATTTCTTTATATAATTTTTATAATTATTTCTTTATATAATCTTATGTTTCATAAGCTGAGAAGGAAAACAGGAAAGCAACTATATATTGAAGTGTTTGTTGTTAACCTTCTTACTTACCATTTCTGGTTCTCTTCATTTGTTCCTTTGCACTTAATCATAGCCAGAATGTCGAGAAGTGATCATTTGTTCCTGTGGATTCAAGTTGCCATCTGGTGTCTTTGTCTTATTCCAATATAGTTTTGCTATCTGCCTTCCTCCTTTGTTATTTTATTGTCAAATATATTACATTCCTATAAGTCCAATAATATAATTATATATGTGTTGTTTTTATACAGTAGTTATTTAAATTGGAGATTTAAATAGTAGAAAGGGGATAAATATGCAGTCACGCCATCTTTTTAGTCTGTGTGTGGATGCAAATTACTGTTTGAAGTCCCTTGCTTCCAGCCTGAAGATCTTCCTTTATTATTGCTTGAAGGTGGGTCTGCTTGCAATAAATTCTCTCACTTTGTATTTATCTAGGAATGTCTTTATGAGATACTTTTGCTGAATATAAGATCTTCATTGATGGTATATTTCTTTCAGCACTTTGAATATATCTTCTTACTGCCTTCTAATTCTGCTGTTTTTGTTGAGAAATCAGCTGTTAGTTATTGAGTTTCTCTCATAAATGTTTGTTTTTCTCGTTCTACTTGGAAGATTCTATTTGTCTTTCAACATTTTTGCTATGATGTGTCTGAGTGTGGATCTTTCACATTCATTTTACTTGGAGTTCACTGAGCTTCTTAGATGAGTAGATTAATGTTTTATTGAAACTGGGAATTCTCAGCCATTGTTTCTTCAAATTTTTTTGTTCCTTTTTCTTTTCTTTTTTTTTTTCTGGTACTCTCACTATGCATATATTGGTGTGCTTAATGATGTATCACATTTCTCTGAGTCCCTGTTTATTTTTCTTTATTCTTTTTTCTGTCTGTTTTTCAGATGGCATAATCTCTATAGATGTATCTTTAAGTTCACTGATTCCCTGTTCAGGGAGCCCAAACTTACTATTCGACCTTCCAGTGAATTTTTTATTTGGTTATTCTACTTCCCCAACTCTAGAATTTCTATTTTGTTCCTTTCACAAAAAATACTTTTTACCTATTATATTCTTGTCATAAGAACATCATTCATATGACCAGCATCCATTACTGGTATACCAGGATATAATCATGCTGCTATAAAGACACATGCACACGTATGTTTATTGCGGCACTATTCACAATAGCAAAGACATGGAATCAACCCAAATGTCCATCAGTGACAGACTGGATTAAGAAAATATGGCACATATACACCATGGAATACTATGCAGCCATAAAAAAGGATGAGTTTGTGTCCTTTGTAGGGACATGGATGCAGCTGGAAACCATCATTCTTAGCAAACTATCACAAGAACAGAAAACCAAACACCGCATGTTCTCACTCATAGGTGGGAACTGAACAATGAGATCACTTGGACTCAGGAAGGGGGACATCACACACCGGGGCCTATCATGGGGGGGGAGGGGGAAGGGATTGCATTGGGAGTTATACCTGATGTAAATGACGAGTTGATGGGTGCTGACGAGTTGATGGGTGCAGCACACCAACATGGCACAAGTATACATATGTAACAAACCTGCACGTTATGCACATGTACCCTAGAACTTAAAGTATAATTATAATAAAAAAATATATATATATATAAAAAAAAAGAAGTCATCATCATATCTTTTTTACTTCCCTAAGCATGGCTTTATTTCTTTGAGCATACTTAAAACAGCTATTTTGAAATTTTTGTCCGTGAAATCCAACATCTAAGTCTTAGAAAAGGCAATTGCCATTACCCAATTTATTTCTCTTGTGTAAGAATCACACTTTCCTGTTTGGGGCATATCTTATAATTTTTTGTTTTACACTAGACATTTTAGATAACATATTGTATTAGCTTTCTATGACTGCTCTTATGGGTTGGATTGTGTTTCTCAAAATTCAAGATGAAATCCTAACTCCCAGTACCTCAGAATGTGACCTTATTTGAAAATAGGGCCATTGCAGATGCAATTAGTTAAGATAAAGTCATTAGAATGGACCCTAACTGTGATGGTTAATGTTAGGTGTTATCTTGATTGGACTGAAGGATGCCTAGATCACTGGTAAAGCATTGTTTCTGGGTGTGTCTGTGAGGGTGTTGCCAGAGGAGATTGACATTTGAGTCAGTGAACTGGGACACTCTTTGCGGGTGGGCACCATCCAATAGGCTGCGCAGCTAGAACAAAGCAGGCGAAAGAAGGTGGGATAACCTTGCTTGCTGAGGCTTCTGGCTGCCTACTTTCTCCCATACTGGAGGCTTCCTTCTGCTTCTCGTGTCCTTGTGTTCCTGGACCAAACTGAGGTTTGGGCTGCTATTTTTTACGGCCATATAACAAGATGCAGATGAACTGGGGAGAAATAGAGTTTTTATTTCTGTAGTCAGTTACAGGGACATGGCCTGGAAATTATTGCCAGACCAACTCAAAATTACAAAGTTTTTTCAGAGTTTTATGTATCTTCTAAGCTAGATGTCTGTGTGTAAGTGTGCCTTCATTTAAAGATATCATAAGTGATTAACTTCTTTTAATCTATAACAAAGGTCTGAGTCCTGAAGACCTTCTTTTAGAGTCTTAGTAAGTTTACTTAATCTAAATGGGTTTAGGTGCTGGGGTGATTACCCTTATCTGGTCTTCTGCTAAATCACAGAGGTTTGGGGAGTTCCTTAAGACCTCCAATAAACTTGTTTGTTGAGGCCTGGGGAGTTTCTTCAGACTCCCAATAAAACTTGTTTAATCCTAAAGTGGTCCTGTTAAGAATTACTCTGTTATTTTGTTATGCTTTAAGGCCCAGGAAAGGCCTAGGCAAAACTCTTGGTGGGCTTTTGCTACATTCTAGCCTTTGTATAAGGGCACTGGCTTTTAATATTTATCTTAACCACTCAGTGAGTGCTGAAACATTTGTTACGGAGACCTGCCACACTTGGACATCAGACTCCAGGTTCATTGGCCTGTGGACTCTGGGACTTGCACCAGTGGCTTGCAGGTGGTTCTCGGGCCTTTGGCCGCAGATGGGATGCTGCACTGCTGGCTTCTTTGGTTTGAGGCTTTCGAGCTTGGACTGAGCCACTACCAGCTTCTCTTTTCCCCAACTTGCAGATGGCCTATCATGGAATTTGGCCTTGTAACTGTGTGAGCCAATTCTCCATAATAAATAAATAAATAAATAAATAAAGTTTATTAGGGAGAATTGGCACACACAATTACAAGGCTAAGTTTTTTATATATATATGTGTGTGTGTATATATATGTACATATATGTATGTATACACATACATACACACACACATATACACACACACACACACATATATCCTACTAGTTCTGGAGAACTCTGATCAATACACTAATTTAATATGACTGATGTCCTCATAAAAAGGGAAAATTTGGAAACACACATACACAGAGGGAGAACACCATTTAAAGATGAAGGCAGAGATCAGGGTGGTACTTAAAAAAGCCAAAGAATGCTAAAGATTGCCAGAAAAGCATGAGAAGCTGGGCAAGAGGAATGGAGTAGATTTTCATAGCCCTCACAGACAGTCTCTCAGACTTCCACTCTCCAGAAATGTGAAACGGTGAGTTCCTATTGTTTAAGCCACCTAACTTGTGGTACTTTGTTATAGCTCCAGCAAACTAATAAAGCTGCTGTACCAAA